ATTCTACAAATCCAATCCCGAAGCACCAAGAAGCAAGCGGTCGACCCGTGAAGCAGCTCCCGTCGCCACGCGCACGCCAGCACCAGTATTTCCTGACTCTGGCTGGACCCAAGACAGACCGAAACTTCCTCGTGTAACAGCATCCACGATCTTGTCGCATTTGCTGCTTACTGGAAAGCAAGTTCGCACCAGTGAGAGCCATGTACTCATCATCAGGAAGCCTCTAGATCGGGGACACGAGCTGTATTTTGGTGGATACATTCACGATGTTAGTGTGTGCTGTGTGGAGGCCGAGATTTTTATCGAAGCCAAGTGCTGGGCAACCCAGAAGAAGTCTACCAAGTACAGCTTGCGACTTGTGTTCACAGATGACGCCAAAAATGATAGTGCTGTGCTGGATTTTGCTGTGTGTGTGAGGGCTGTGTTGCTGGTGGAGATGGTGGGCTCTGCTCTCATGTGTTTGCTCTGTTACTGGTGCTTAGATTTTGGATTTCAGTTTCGGCAGCCTCCGACACGATACTCAAACTCACTCTCACTTTCTCCTCGCCGCGGCTTCTTGGCTTTTGGCTCGACATCGAGCCTCTCTAGTAAAGAATGACGAACAAGTGCAGCACTTCGACGATCCGCAGGAGAGGGTCTCTCGGCTGGTGGTCGCCGAAAGGAGAAAACACTGGGGATGCTTTCCTGCTTCAAACGACGATGCGGCTTCCCAGAAGCTAATGCAGGCAGCCCGGGTAGATCTGGATGGAAGTCTTTTTCCCTGAAATGTTCACTGCAAACAACAGTGCTGGATGAGATCGTGAAATGCGTGTGGATAACTATGGCGTTGTGATCCAAGTCATGCGGACTATAAAATGCCTTAGACGTGAGATAGTGAAGGTACTGCCGACAGCAAGCCAACAGTGGATATGAACCACGCCGCCAGCATCATTCTGCACACCAGGAGAATCCAATACATATACATGTAGCTGCCAACTCTGATGGTATAGACCCGATAACTGTTTTGTTTCTCTAAGATTGGTATACAATTATACATGTACTAGTGCAATCTCTATCCATATGCGTAATGCACTGTATTTGTTTGACTGGAGGTAGTTTATCATAGCACTGTTTTATGTCCTGGTTTTGTTGAAGATAAACATTATCCAGTTAACTTGTTAGGTACCGTATCAGTCAGCTCTTTCAGCATTTGGCGTTGTGTCAGGGATGGTTGGCGGTGTCGCGGGTCATTCCACAGTCCGCAACGTTGACGTTCTCGGCAGCGGAGCGACCCAGTAGGCAATTGATCACCGATAAATATACTGCCATTGGTATCACGGTGCACCACAATGGCATATGGTGTGAATATCATTATGTTATTCTGCAGCGAGTCCTTGTCGTGTAGCTTGCGAAAGTTATTGCATACGGTCATTACGTGCATAATGCATAGTACTGTCTGTACACTCAAGTTTCAAGTCCAGTCCATTTTTTGGAAATATGGGCTGGACACTAACGAGGGCCTGGTGACGTGTTCATAGGGCTGAGTTATGCCAAAATGTGCCATTGGCTGGGAGTGAAAGCCTTGCCCCACGCCTGCACCCTAAAAAATGTTTCGAAAATACTCAAATTCGACGACGGCTGAGAATCTAGGAAGATGCCGGACCACAGCGAAACAAGTCATCTGGCTGAAAAACGGAATACACCATTGCGTTGCCACGGCTAAGCGCAATTTTTAGGCTCACCACACAGGTAGCGAAATGCCAAAACAAACGAGCCATAGACACAAAACCATTTTCCAAAATTGTCCACCATTGAGAATGCGACTCAAAAAGTACCCGCAAACTGCCCAGTGCGGAAAATGAAAAGTCAACTTTTAGACGACTTTTTTGAATCTGGCGCACGGACTGCACACGGTCATGGAGCCTGGAGGGCGAGGACGGCAGAGTCGGTACGAGTAGTGTCGGAGAGCTGGTAGAGCAGGTTCCTCAGCCTTCTTGGACTATAAAGCAGCTGAGAGATAATCTATGAAAGCAGGGTGGTTTGTTGACAGGACGGAAAGCGGAACTACTTACGAGGTACGTTCATACGGGGCTTCGTCGACTAATTTTTTTTACCTACACTCACTCACGAACTGCGCGTGACATTTGTTCTACATCCAGGGCGTTATTCTACAAATCCAATCCCGAAGCACCAAGAAGCAAGCGGTCGACCCGTGAAGCAGCTCCCGTCGCCACGCGCACGCCAGCACCAGTATTTCCTGACTCTGGCTGGACCCAAGACAGACCGAAACTTCCTCGTGTAACAGCATCCACGATCTTGTCGCATTTGCTGCTTGCTGGAAAGCAAGTTCGCACCAGTGAGAGCCATGTACTCATCATCAGGAAGCCTCTAGATCGGGGACACGAGCTGTATTTTGGTGGATACATTCACGATGTTAGTGTGTGCTGTGTGGAGGCCGAGATTTTTATCGAAGCCAAGTGCTGGGCAACCCAGAAGAAGTCTACCAAGTACAGCTTGCGACTTGTGTTCACAGATGACGCCAAAAATGATAGTGCTGTGCTGGATTTTGCTGTGTGTGTGAGGGCTGTGTTGCTGGTGGAGATGGTGGGCTCTGCTCTCATGTGTTTGCTCTGTTACTGGTGCTTAGATTTTGGATTTCAGTTTCGGCAGCCTCCGACACGATACTCAAACTCACTCTCACTTTCTCCTCGCCGCGGCTTCTTGGCTTTTGGCTCGACATCGAGCCTCTCTAGTAAAGAATGACGAACAAGTGCAGCACTTCGACGATCCGCAGGAGAGGGTCTCTCGGCTGGTGGTCGCCGAAAGGAGAAAACACTGGGGATGCTTTCCTGCTTCAAACGACGATGCGGCTTCCCAGAAGCTAATGCAGGCAGCCCGGGTAGATCTGGATGGAAGTCTTTTTCCCTGAAATGTTCACTGCAAACAACAGTGCTGGATGAGATCGTGAAATGCGCTCCCTCTTCGCGCTTACATACCTGCACCCATCTCGCCCTTAGGTCGGGATCTCAGGGGCGGATCCAGAGATCTCTACAGGGCCAGGGGGGTTCCGGTTGAACCAAAATTGAACAGCCAAAATATTATGGAATCAGATGTGCGGTTGGCACTTGTAATAACGACAATCCGATTGTGTTAGTGGGAATCGCATGCTTTTAAAACACACCACGGACATAATATTATTATTATATTTTTCCATCATCGACCACACCACAACTGCGCTCTCCAGCCGGCCTCGACACGTTGCCACAGCACACCACCATCGCTGGAGACTGAGTCGGAGCGCAGTTGTGGTGTGGTGGACGATGGAAAACCTGTACAGGGCCAAATGCTGCTGCTTACCCTACATTGAATATTATTTAGTACAGGCACATAATCATATACAAACATGTATGCAATCGACTGGCACACAGGTTCAGTGAGGGCTTGAAGACCCTTTCAACTTCTTGTAAAGATCGGATATGCAAGCCATGGGTACGTTGAGAGCTAGGAATGCCGAAATGACAACTAAGTTACTTTCCCTGTCCATTTGTACTTTCGGAATTTTTTGGCCTTTTTACGATGCGAAATGCTCTATAGTGCACAGGACAAGAGCATCGTCTTCACTTCAGTGACAGAAACAACAGCAGCGAAACAGTGTCCAATCCTTCCAATTTCATCTAAAACACATCGCTGGCGCAGCATTCCGTTCCTGCGGAGGAACAACTAGTCATTACTGCATGCTGCAGCAGGTAGAGATTACTGACTTTGCTTGGATGTCGGAGCCCTCATCTTCTGAGGAGCTTGAACTCTACGTGTACGGTTCGAAGTTCGTTGAAGAGTGTCAGTACTCGGAACATCCTTTGTCTTCTGCAAAAAACTTGTCCAAGGAATACTGACCACACCACACCCATCCTGAGCAGCAGTGAATGACAGCGCCAATGGAGGTAAGTTTGGATCGTTTCGAAAGATCAAAAAGGAAACAACCACCCAATTATGTTGTCTACAGTCAGTGTCCGTTTGTAAATCACGGTCGTGAACACCAGTACAGACAGTACAGACTAGTACTATCCGTACAGTATCGATCTACCGCACGCGCATGCAGTGCACTGACTGACACAGTGACAGTCTGTGCTCCTTGACTCAGTCAGTCAGTGACTGCACGGACTGTGATCGGACGGACGTCCTTTTGTGCACACATGATATTTTCGATAGTTCTCAGCAGCTAGCCGCACACTTGTCTTTGCAAATTTTAGGGGGTTCCATGGAACCCCCGGAACCCCTCCTGGATCCGCCACTGGATCTGTGGGATACTTATGAAAAGACAGATCTCGTTGATCTGATCGGCGATTTGAGCAGCCAAACACAGACCAGTGGTTGTGCGATGGCATCGTGAGGCGAAGGAAAACTACCGACTGAACTACAGAACAACCAAATCATTTCAAACAAAAACAAGAAACACCGTACCCACGGCCACCGGCACCAACAAGCACACGAAATCTCCGTGCAGTACACCACGTACACACTGTACTTGCACGCTGCACTGTGCAGTGTGCACGGTCCATGCGTGATCTCATGCACGATGGGGCCCCCCTATAGACCATGCCTTGCCCCCTTACGCCCCCCTACTTTATTTTGTCAAATGGTCTATTGTGGCTGGTGCCAAGTTGTGGGCACGAGCTGGATGAAAGCAGGCACATGTCATGGTAGACGTATAGAATCAAGCATGGAAGGAAGGGCTACTTATACTTTTATAGGTGGAAAATTCATGCCCGCGTGTACGTGTGTAGAGGGCTTGCCCGAGAGCGTACACACAAGGGCATGGAGCTGCCCGAGTGCGTATGCCCGAGGGCTACGCACGAGGGTGCGCATTTTCCATCAAGACCTTCCTACTGTTGTATGAGCCCTTTAGCCCCGTAGACATTCCCGTATGCACACACTCCCGTACACATATACATACACATCTCCATATCCCTGTACACACACCCCAGTCCTTCCCCAGACGCGCAAAAAAAAGACCTCTCCCACTAATCCCGATATAACAGATTCTTGACTGATTTTTGCCGCGAAAGCGAAAAAATGTTCTCAAATTTGAGAACTGTCCTAAATTGGTTCTGAGAGATGGAAGCCGTTTTACATGGCCTACGTAGTTTTACTTTGTACCACCTCGTTTTATTTCACACCATGTATTCTTTACGGGACGCTCTTTCGGCAGATATATTTTTAGTGAAGTTTCGTAGAGGAGACGTATATCGAAAATGTTGTGAACGAAGCTGAAATTGGCATATTTATGCACCTAATTTCAAGCCGGATTATCGCCAGAGCACGCAGCGTTTTCGGCCAGCACGAAGGCGGCAACATATAGAGGTAAGCAATACCTATCACTTACAAGACAAATCTGATCTGTTCACGACCTCCAAATACCTAAAATTCAGAACTTGCTGTGCTTGCTTGGCCCTATGTACATGTATGTTACATAGAGGATCACACTCATTTGGCAAGTAGATCTACAATGCACAACATTATAATACCGTCTTCTAAGCTGTAGTCTTCACTGGTTTACAGTTTTGGATATGTTGAGTAACGCCTCATTCACACTTCGCTTTGCGTAAGGGAAACACATCACAACGGCCGTTTGCGGCGAGAAAGTTGACTTGATCTTGAGTTGAGTTACTTGTTTGGTCCATCGCGCGACCTTCGCCTGTGCGCATTGCGTTCATGAAATTGCCTAAGTCTGTTGTGAGTTATCTTGAATCCGTAGACATTTCGCCGTATTAGTACCATCCGTTCCATAAAAATGCTGGTTCTTGTAATGGCATGCACCATAAAATGACATCTGTTCTATGACCGTAATCATTTGCCCACCATATCTTCTACATTTAGTGAGATGTTGCCTGCTGCACTGTATGCATGCAGTTGTAGTTCCCACCGCCTTGATGCTGGCGGCATATTCAACATGACATGTATGCATTGTATGCACGCCTTTGGATTCATCAGCGGCCGTTCTAAGCGGGATATATTCAGCGATATACCCCGCTCGGTTCACATGGGTCACTTCGAGAATAAGGAAACTTTAAGCCTAGTTCGCATTCGACGTAACGCTGACGGTATGGAACGTAAGGGCCTGTTGGGACGGCCGGGGTGAGCTGTAAAATCTTGTACGATTCGTAAGACACAACATGTAGTTTGACACGACATGCAGCAGCTATTGCGATTTTCAAGAAGTGACACGAAATCTTATCTTCCTAAAATTTGAATCAGTTGTGCTAGCCATTCGGCGAGTTATCATGGGAAGCATAGTGTTGACCGTGTTCGAAATGTTTAAAAAACCTAAGTGTGCTGTTGTGCGCATCGGGAGGGGTCAGCGCACGACACATCCCCTGTTCACACTAGAATGCAGTTGTTTTGTACGCTTGCGTCCTCGTCTACGGTCTGAAAAGTTGAACTGACCAACTCTTCCCCTTGCTTCCCAATCTGTAGGGTGGAACGGTTACGTTCCCGTTCCTGGTGTTCACATTGGACGCTGTCTGTCGGCGTCATAACCGTTCCGTCGGTTCCCGTCAATCCTTACGTCGCGTCCCGTTGCGCCCCGTCGAATGTGAGCTAAGCGGCTTTCGTGTTGGTCACACTCTGTATTTAGTAGGGGTGAAACAATTATACCGAGTACTCGAGTACTCGCTCGGTTTTTTCAAAAATAATCGTACTCGGAATAAATCAGAGTACTCGTTCATACATGGTACATGCATTTACTACAGAAATCTGCAGTTTCAGGGCAGCAGTAGGCAGATGGCGATGTGCAGGCTGTGTGGTGAACATTTGTTCACGAGTAGAGAGAGCCCAAATGACCCACCAACCAATACACCCGAGAAAAATGACTGCTTCTCGGTTCAATCAGGGTTGTATCATGTTATTTCAATGCCCTTGGTGTGCAATTTTTAGGAGAAGAAAAATACTCGAATACTCGAATATTCGATCGGAGAAAATCAGAGTACTCGAACTCGGGATCTCAGTGCCAACTTTCACCCCTAGTATTTAGGAAAGTACCATGCAAATGGATTATACCATTCGTACTCTGTGTATACCGAGTCCCCCAATTGTCACTCGTCCTAACGCACTCTCGAAAGTAATCGCGGTATACCCCTCATACTCATGGTATCATCCATACCTAATATATATATAATCAGTATCATCTGCTGTTTGTTTTCCATTGCAGGTTAACGTCTCAATCAAGCATCGTCATCAAAACTTTGCACAGAAGAGTGTCAGCGGTGTCGGTCATCCTCTGGGATCCTCTTTCTGTTATTACTGAAGCTCAATTCCCAATACATGAACTGCTTTCCACGATGCGCAACATGCAACACCTGCAATGAGCTGCAACCACGACAGATGATTCACAATCTGTTTTGCTTCTGCGACATCTAAGTGCAGGGCGTAGTACCCTCACGTGCACCCAGCCTAGTGAACTGCACTCCATTCGTGTACAACGCGCTTGGCAAGAGTTATGCTTTTGCCAACTTCTGGGACAGTGGCCCTACAACTGCTTGCGACAGTGCGCGTCTGCGCGACAGGCATTTCCTCGCCGCAAGTGTTACATCACAGAAAGTGATACATGTACATGTAATTGTGAATTGTAAATACTTTTCATCCAATTCAACTTTTAGTATGTGCTTCTCTTTGTTGAACAGCAATGGGTAACCAACTCTTCTCCTATCCATTCATTCTCCTGCTCGTGTTTGTGTGGTGGTTGTATACTGTATACCCATTGAATGATTAATGTACTGCAGTATCAGGTTTTGTCTGGTGATATATTCACGTCCAAATATGTTCAATTTTCACTTGAGCACACAAGGGTTGGAAGCTTAGAAACACTATACATCTATTCTTAAGGGTGTTCTCCATTGATATTTTGATTGATCTCACCTGTTCAAGACGTCCATGTCGACTTTGAGGCCGACTTTCGCATCGATGTCGGCTATTTTATAGCACTTTGAAAAATGATCCCTACCACCCGGGACGCATTCTATCGCGTTGTTTGCATTCTCCTGGCGGCAGGGCATTGCCAAACTGATTACCTTTCATATGAAATAATTCAAGGGATGTGGAAGAAGCCTTCACTGCTCGACCAGGCCGATAACCTTGTTTCATTCATACCCCAAAGCTAGACAAATTCGAAATTTCTCAAGCTTGAGAACGTTTCCCGGCAAAAAAAACCTCGAAATCTGTTATATCGGGATTGGTCGTTTGGGAAAGGACTGCCCATGCATGCACTCCCCGCTGACCTTTTGCCTCCCTTATTTAGAAAAGCGATCCTGTCAACTTTTCGTTGTGTTCACATGGCAAGAAAAACGATACCGCTATGCTACGTAAGTTTCTACGTAAGGTGCTCGGTATTTCACTTAGGCTACGTAAGTCTCTACGTAAGGTGCTCGGTATTAGATCTACCAGCGGGTGGTAGCCGCGTGCTGTGCACGTGCAAGGCACACATTGTGTTGCAGTGCAGTCCGTGTTTGGATATGCATGCGCGAGGAACTTTCTCCTTTGGAACTGCTTCTTGTATGAGCTGTTTCGGATATTTCGTCTCCTGGCCTGGCTTATTATTTCGTTTCGGCGCTACTGAGACCTCCTTTCGCGGAATATTACTCAATGACAGGTGAGTTGACCGGTTCCCTTTGATTCATTTGCTTGTGTTGACTCTTTCATTTACGAAAAGTGTGCTGATTTTGGGCGGAATACAATAAATAATGGAAAAGCTGACCGGATCTCTTTTCTAAATTTAGCTTTTCCGCTGCCGAGGCCTCCTTTTACGGAATACTCGATGACAGGTGATCTCTGAGTTGACCGGTTTCCTTCGATTCATTTGCTTATACTCACCCTTTCATTTACGGAAACGTGTGCTGATTTTATTCGGATTTATATCCATTTTTATCTCTTTGCCCTTGTCTACAGTGTGCGAAGAACGCGAGTTCACCTTCTTGACGGTAAGGCTTATTATTATTATTATTCTTTTATTCCACGATGGCGTGACGCCAATAAGGATGATTAATAAGTGCGATAGAACTGGTACTAGCCAGAAACAGCTAGATGGAAATTAACCGGGAGCGGCGCAACTGTAGTCGCTTGGCGCACAGACGCTGCTGCAGCCGGGCGCTGTGATGCACGGACGCCTGCCAGCGCGAGTCGAGCGAGGCCAGAGCGCATGCGTAGCCGTCACCACCTGCCCGGGCGGAGACCTTGCACGGCGAGCCGGCAGGGCCCTCTTCGTCGCAATCCGGGCCAGTGTCATCGGCACCACCGAAGCGTACTGTCTCCACGCCATCGCTTAGAATCCCGGAGTACTCCTGCCGGCTCGCATCGCCACTGCTGCCTCTGCCGTGGACAAGAATGCAACGAGAGCCCGCTCGCTGGTCAAAGTCCACAACGCCGGCGCACGCACAGTTTGCCAGACGAGCAAGAACTTCCTGTTGCTGCTGCTGCCCGGCACACAACAAGACGCACGTGCGGTCCTCGCAAACCACCGCCACCAGCAGGCGGCCGTCGCTGACCGTCCAGACGAGGTCGCATGCTGCCGAGTCGAGGTCGTGCACCCAGCGCACGCCGCTCCGATCGGCCAGCACGATCTGCGCGTGGCACGTCGAGAACAGAACGTAGCAGCGGCGCTCGTCATCTTGGACCTCGCGCGCCGCACTCGCGCCGCGCAGCCTCGAGCCACCGGCAAGACCTGGCGGCAGCTGTATCTGGCCAGCCGACGGCGGAATGAGCTTGACGCCGGTGACAACGGGTACGTACTCAGTGGGTATTGAGTAGGATGAGCGCGACAGGCCGCCCACACAGTTTGCGTGGCACGGTGTCGCACGATTGGTCACGTCATCGCCGCCGCTAACGCTGCTGCTCCTGCCGATCTGCGTGAACACGCACGCATTCCGATGGACGAGGAACGCCGAGGCTGCGCCGCACGCACCGCAGGCGAGGAAATCGCACTGGGCGCCGGCGCAGGCTTCTGTGCCGCTGCCGCCAATATCGTGTCTGCTCCAGCCCAGTGTCGCAGCAGCGTCGGTGACGAGCAGCCGCCACACGTGCTCGCCGTCCCACACCAGCAGCGTCGGTCCGTCGCGCAGTGCCACGCTTGGCGGTGCTGCCGCCGCATCCGCTCCCCTCTGCACATTCAGCACGGGCGTGGTGCACAGCAACAAAGCCGACTGAGACTCCCCGAGCGCCGCCAGCTCAAACCTCAGCCCCGTTGCGTCGTTGGCAGTGGGCAACGCCAGAACGATCACCGGCCACGGTCGACCGCGTATGTCCACGACTGCCAGGCAAACAAGAACACACGCGGTGGGTAAGTGCCGCTCTAGCAGGACTCTGCGCGCCAGCAAACGCGATTTTTCCTGGTCGTAACGCAACTCGGTCACCAGGAGGTGATTCTCCGGGGATACTTGAGCAAGGATCTCTCCATTTCGCCAGCCAGTGCATTTCATCATTGTGCTGGTTCTGCTGCTGCTGCTGCTGCTGCTGCTGGTGGTGCCTGTGTGTGTTTTCAGGTAACCCGAATCGATTGGCGTGTGCTGAGCATTATCCAATGGGACTACTACGCGCCTGAGTGCGATTGCAGTCGCAGCACACGACAGCTAGCTACGCACACGCGACATTGCAGCTGTGAGCACATTCTGTCGCCGCGCACACTGCAGTGCACTCGGCAGATGGTGGAAAGAGAGAGAGGGAAACAAAGCAACTCGCTCAGTGCGGCCCCCTCTGAAAATCAATCAATTCACCAGCAGTGCAGATTGTTTGTTCAGCTTGACGCTGCACCTGCACAAACACACATCTACACTGACAGTCTGTACTTGTTCTCAGCTCTTTATTTGTTGCAAACACTGCTCTTTCAAGCGGGATTCACAGAAGCTTTTTTGCGATGCGACACGCGATGCGACGCGATCTGCGACGGACGCGTGCGATGCGAACTCGCGAAATACCATTCACAGAAGAAGTCAGTGATGCGACAACATCTTTTCTTGCTGATTTGGCTACGTCACCATGATATTTGCGCGGTTTGATACAACTTGTAAGAAATTTATAGGCAACTCTTGCACCTTTGTACAACTTTGCTGTAGAAAAGGTCAAAATCGTACACCAAATCGCTTGTCGCATCGCATCGCATCGCAAAAGTTGAGCCAAGCTCAACTTCTGCGATGGCCTGCGATGGCCCAGTTGCGGCAGTTGCGTGGGGTGCGACATGGCTGCGATTTGGGGTTTTCCCGGTTTCGCGTCTGTCGCATCGCGTGTCGCCTAAAGGCCGATTCACAATACAACTTTCTGCGACGCGACACGCGATTTGCGACAGTTGCGACAAGAAACTGCCTGTCGCGAGCTGTCGCAAGCTGTCGCAAGCTGTCGCAATGCACCTGTCGCAGAAGTTGAAGAAAGTTCAACTTTTGCGACATGCGACACGCGACATACACAAATGGAGTACAGTTTCGACCCTGGGTGCACGTGCAGTGTACGTGCAGTGCACGTGCATAGTACTACTTGTGCATGAGGATGTCGCAAACATGAAGAATATTGTGAACCGTGTGTCGCTGTCGCAGCTCGTCGCATGCGTCGCAAGTCGCATGTCGCGTCGCAGAAAGTTGTATTGTGAATCGGCCTTTAAGCTGTGTTCACAACTGGCGCGTGTACGCGTGAAACCAAGCGTTTGTGCGTATTTTTGCTGGCTTTTGGGGCGCCATGCGTATGGAAACGCTCCGAAATGGAACTTCCAACATGTTGGAATTTTCAGCGCGTATCAGGCGCGTATCAGCGTACATGCCAGTCACTTTGACTGGCGGGGTCAAAAAATTAGTACTCGAAGGTGCTAAATACGACTCGGATTGCTGTTTTTTGTGAAAGGCTGAGCGCGCGTTTGGGGGCGCATGAACCGCAAGCGTACCGCGTCCACGCGCCAGTTGTGAACACAGCTTAATTAGGCCTCGGTCACACTACGGCAAAAATGCTGCGTCAGCGTCAGAATCATGAGCTTTTCCATGGCAACTGAGGCCTCGGTCACACTACGGCAGTTTGAAGCTGGACGCAGCGTCAAGCCGCAGCACTTGACGGAGACGCGGGGTCACACAGTGTTTTGTTTTTTTTGTAGCTCATGACTGCCGCGGCTTGACGCATTTGTCTACGTCACAAAACCACCAGGAAAACTCAATGACGACACGGATTCCCACGGAAACCGGCCTTTTGCTTATTATACAAAAAAATTGTCGGACAAAGTTTTCGAATTTTTCATTGATTTTTGATTACAAGAAGACGAAAGGTAGGTCCACGCGTGCACGATCGTTGTTGTTTCTTTCCGAATTTGAAGCCATTTTCAGTTGTAGTGTCATTGATCAGGCAAGAAAAGTCCGCATCGCAGCTGTGTTTCTCCTGACTTCGTCATACTGGTTGTCCTTTTTGGGGCTCTTGTCTTGACGACAACACAACACTCACAAGTCGACAGGCTCCAGTTGGCCGATGACCTACTCAAACAACTGGTCCTTTCTCGACATCATTTTCTTCTCAGAAAACGCCTCGCTCTTCCGCCAGGTTCGGAGCAGAGCAGCCTCGGCCTCGTAGGTCCACGGACTCATCTCGAACAAAAAGAGGGAACAAAACAAACCTTGAACAGACGAATGTCGAATAACTGCTAAACTCAAGCAAAGTGTCTTGAAACTAATTTTACTTGAAAGAGTCTGTTTTTCCGCCAAGCGTCACTCCCATCAGCGGCAACGCAGCCGATTTCCCCACGTCAGACGCAGCAGCGTCTGACGCTCAAATTTCCCGCGTTGCGTCAGTTGCCATGGAAAAGCTCATGATTCTGACGCTGACGCAGCATTTTTGCCGTAGTGTGACCGAGGCCTGACGCAACGCGGGAAGTTTGAGCGTCAGACGCTGCTGCGTCTGACGTGGGGAA